TTCAACATTTGTTTTCATTATTGATTTAACACAATTCATGAATAAATTCAGCAAATGTTTAATTTGTGCATAAATCTAGGAGCCACCAGGGATACAAAGACAAATAAAAATATTTCTGCCCCAGAGAAGCTCTGGTAGCAAATACAAATGCACATACACACACAAACACAAGCACACTTATAGTCACACATTCACATAATACAAAGTAGAATTATGCAGATAAAAACAATGTTATACAGTATAAAATGAATAAGCAATATTACTCATTTCAAATAGAAATAAAATTAGATATTCATTAAAAATAGAATAAGGTGCTTTGTTTCGATTTCAGCAAAATAATTATTTGATCAAAATTTCTTGTTAAACTACAAACCAACATGTGCTTTCATGTGTGATTTTATTCATGGAATCCATCATTGTTTAGTGATTACAACATTTCCCAGTGAGGTGATGACAGTCTATGTTGACTACATTTACCAAAGTGCAGGCTGATTATATTTCTGTTAAACTCTTACAAAATAATTACCAGAAACAATTACGATTATAATTAAAACTTCTTTCCCCTCAACCCAGATAATGTCTTCTAAGCATTTAGCTTTCAAGTTAATGAATAAATGAAAAGAATAACTTACAAGATTTTTTGCATTTGAAAGTATTAACACACCACTGCCTTTAAATTATACTATCAAAAGAATTATATGTGTGTTGTATGTGAATACAAAAAACAGAGAGCAATTTAATACTTTATGATTGTCTAAACATAGACATCAAGAGGTCATGTCAAAACCAAAATTATCTTTGTAATGTATCCTTAAAGATCAGTACAGATGAGTAATTTTGATGTGAATAATTTGTCTATATCAACATAGATTCAACACAATAACTATTTTGAGCCTTTTATTAATATATTTGCTTGTCCTTTACAGTTTAAAAGCACATTCACATCTTTTCCCTCATTCTAAAGCATAACAACTCTTCAAAAATAAAGGTGATTTTTATGTTCAGCTTTTATAGAAGAAAACTGCAGTTAATAGGACCATTTATTAGCAGAAGTATGGACACTTTTCCTGAATTCTTTCTAATACCTTTTGTTATTTCTTCTATGTGTAAAGTATTCAGGGAGGGGTACAGAGCACATCAAAATATTTCTGCATAACTAAACTGTATTGCTCTTGTCTGTTTGCAAAAGATGGGCATCTGTATTGTCCCCTTTGAGTGTGGCTATGACCCTGTAAGGAAATAGGTCAAATTTTCAGGGAGTTTAAACTCTAATAAGAAAATGGTGAAACAACAACATCCTATAAGACAGCATTTGATTGGGGCTTTGGTTGATCAAAGAAGCAGGAATTATATTCAGCTAGGAAGACAGAGAAGTCAGCTTGGATTTCGAAGATAACTGAAACAAATTGATAGATGAAGCCAAATGAGGACTATGCCTCTTCAAAGTCTGGTCTTAGATGGGTTCTTTGAAAATCTGCTATGCTTTCTTGGCCAGAGATTTTACTAGAGAAAAAAAAGAAATATTATTTTTCAACATTAAAAATAAATATTTCTGAAATCATTAGAGACGGATTGGGTATGCCAGACCAAAGGACTTTCTAATAAATGTCAATCTTCAACAAAACACTTAGGTATCATAAGGAAATGATAAATACCGTGGCCTATGTCGAAAAAGTTTGGCTTTAGGAAAATTATAAAATTCAGAACACTTTTTACCACATAGAATTACAGTTGTCCAATCCCAAACCTCCATCCCTCTGTCTTTTGTGAAGTACTAACACAAGGTCTTGATAGCTGGGACATTTTTAACAGCAACACAGTGATCTAAACTATAAAGAAGACCAAATGATGAGCACAAAAAGCACTGCTAGAAGAAAGAGTGGAGAGTCAAACCCAGAGTAGCCAAATCCTTTTTTTAGTCCATAAGATCAGCAATAGTAGAGGTAACAGAGTAGAGCAGGAGGTGAGATTAATGTCATAAAATTCAGACCTTCTTAGTGTTCAAGGTAGTCAGTCCATCATCAGTGGATGCTGGTCATAGGTGTGTGGGTAGATTAGCCTAAGGTCGGGAATCATAGACAGCAAATGACACATGGAAGGGAAATGAATAACACCTACAATTTTCAATAGGAGTTATATTAAGGAGGTTTTGTATCTCTGTATCTCTTTCCTAATTTCCCTTCCTTTTAATCTAGATACCTGGGTTATCTTTTTTAGATTAACCAATTTTTTTTTTAACTCACTATTTTCCAACTCAATTTGGATGATAATTTTCTAGATTTAGAAAAAAAAATCTTGGTTAGATTTTGCAATAGCCACTTTATAGACTTCCTAGGAATCTTGTACTAAAAGTTACATAGACTTCAAAGAAAAGGGAAGAATTTACGTTACTGTACTTATTTCCATTAGTACACTTGTACACATACATGAAGATAAAAAGTATAGGCTTCAAAGCAGAATTTACTTACTTGCTATATTAGTCATGTTGTTATAAGGAAAAATATGAAGCTAATAAACTGGTAGGAAAACATCCGTGAATATATAATTTGTGTCTATGTATATGAAATAAATACCTTTAAGAGAAAATCAAAAACACCCAGGTTTTGTTCATTGTTAGTCAGATTTTTCTCACTGTGACCAAAACTATCCAACGAGAGCATCTTAAAGGAGGAAAAGTTTAGTTGAGGCTTATTATTTCAGAGGTTCCGTCCAAGTTGGCTGACTCCATTGCTTTGGGCCTGATGTGAGGCAGCAAATCATGGCGGAAGGATGTGGGTAACAAAAGCTTCTCAGTTCGTGGCAGCCACGGTAGCAGAGTGAGAAGCCAAGGACAAGATATTGTCTGTGGCCACACCCCCAGTTACCTATCTCCTCTAACCACACCCTACCTGCCTACAGTAGTCCACCTAGGAGTTCATTCAAATTAATCCATAAAATGGATTAATCCATTAATGAAATTACAGCTCTCATAAACTAATCATTTTATCTCTGAATGTTCCTGTATTAACACATAAGCTTTTCAGGGGACACCTCATATCCAAACTATAACAATTATTTTACAAGGATGACCCTTGTAATTATTTTTAACCTTTGTTAAATCCACCAGCTCTTTTCCTCTTCTGAAACAAAGCTTCATCTCCACAAGTTTTCCCGCTATCACTCCCTGATGTGACCAGGCCTTTTGTTCTGTGCTCACCATTGTTACTATTGTTGAGACTTCAACACATTCACAATGAAGAACACACTGTCTCCTTTTTGTATGTAATAATAGTACACATTTATTCAGTCCTGAATGGTTTGCAAACTATTTCCAAAATATAAGCTTTGTTCATTCTCACAGCAAATCCCAGAGGTAGATATTTTTATAAATACTTTTGTATAGATGAGAAAAGAGTGACTTAATGTGATTAATCACCTGATCAAAAGGCCAAAATATAGTCTCAAATCCAAAGTCCATAGTTCCACTGGTAACTGAACTAGCAATGAAATCCTGTCCTCTGATAGTAGGGCCAGGGAATACCCCATCCTACCGTCTTAGTTTCAACAAACTATATTATTTGAAGCAGTAAAATATAAAAATGCATAGATACACATTTATTTAGAGAAATAATTATTATCACTAACTTAAACAACTTACAGGAACAATATTTGCTAATTTATACATATTTTTATCAGCATTTGTTGACTCACATATTACTCATATCTGAAGTTTTATGCTGAGTCAAAAATTATATAATCAATGCTTATTTTTCTTCTAACTTGCATCATGAAAAAAAATGAGGAATGAAGAGCCCAGACTCTTTTGACTCTATAAATTATCTTTATTGCCATAAAACATCAACAAATAAGCTCAAAATATAACATTTTAAAATTCAAATCAAATGATGGAATGATATTCTGGTAAAATAACAATAATCAAAATGAATAGAAACACCCAACTTTTAAGATAGTTGTAAATACGTGGGAATAAGTTAGAGAAGGAGAAGCATGAGATGATCTCATTTCTTCAATATCCAGTGCATCCTGATACTTTTAGAGGAAATGAAAACCAGCCACCAGGGGAAATAATTGCTGCACCATTAGCATGATTTCCGTCAGGCGGGCTTCTGTAAATGCAGTGCGCAGATCCTGGCAATTAGAGGGGATCCTGTAAATGAAGTGTGTGGCTTCACTTGTCGAGCACTTATTATTGGCAAGTCACTATACTAACAGTTTGATTTACTGCTACAAACCCTGAAAGTCTGAGAAGCATTCATCCTAATCGTAGGAAAGAAAAAACTGAAGCTCAAGAAGGGTGTATCATTTCCCCTGTGCACAGCATCACAAACCCATTAAATGGTGACGCTGGACTTGGAACCCAGTTGTCTGACACCAGGATTTATGCTCTTAACCATTGCAGTTAATCACATCTGCCAACATCATTTAGGCTTTAAAATTTCAGAGAATTGTTCACATAAATATGTCAGGTAAAGAAAACATAATTATTTTTTGACTTTTGTTCCCACTAAGGCTCTTTTTTCCCCTCTTTTCCCCTTAGGTTTGAATTTATCAATAAGACTCCCTTAGGTTTGAACTTATCAACAAGATTGTTCTGTTCTCCTTTGTTGAGTGAACAATTTCTATCTTATACATGATTTTTGCCCTTTGTTTTTGATGCTTTCCTTTCAGAGAGAATATCACTCTTAAAAAGGACTGCCTATAAAATAAAGGAGTAAGAAAGATCCATGTTTTTATATAAATATTTATTTATACACTACTACCATTTAGATTCCCTAATTTTTGCTAATTCCATTAAATAATGAATATGCTAACATGCAAACCCCCATAGACATGTGTACACAATTTACATGATCTAACAAATTCAACTGAAAATATAATATTACCTTACCTTCTAACATGCCTTAAAACATACAGAGTTTACCCATTCATGGTTTTTCATGGTTTATCCAAATGACTCCTGAGCAAGTCAAGGTAGTAGTCATTTGCTTTTTTCCCCCTAGAAGCTCAGAAGAAGCAGTTGGAAGAGACTATAGAGCTGATCCAAGATGAATGTGTGTCAGAGAATGCAGATCACTCTACAGAGGAGCCTGCTGAAGGAGGGCAAGATGCGGATGGAGAAGAGATGACTGATGGGATAGAGGAGGACTTCGATGAAGATGGGGGTCATGAGCTGGTAGGAACTAATTGTTTGGTGAACATATCCACTGGGTAACAGCACCAGCATGTTAGCAACACATTCATTCTAAATTGAGAATTAAATCATTGGGGGCTCATTTCTTCTTATATGCATATATTCAAGGGAACATCAGTATAGTGCCTTGTGCATAATAAGTGCTCAACTTCAAATATGGGTGTAAAAAATGAATAATATAAATATTACATATTTGCTTATTTCTAAAGTTCCAAATGAAATGTCTGAAATACTTTTATTCCCAAATGCTCAATTATGAAAGCAATCTTGCATTTGTACAATTAGAAATTAACTGTACGTGGACATAATATGCTGGTGACAAAAGACTATTTACTGAAGACACATGGCTCCTCCTTTAATAGTGTCACTCATAAATGACAATTGTCTATACTAGTTGTGTAGTCAACAGGCCTCTGTATAGTCTTTTTACTAAGATGACCCCTGAGTGTGTGTTGAGCTCATCATTTCCAGTGTCTGTGCTGCTTGGTAATCTGTCATTATGATCTGGGAATTTAGATATGACTTGACTTTTTATATTTTTTTCCTCTCAATGTTCTAATCACTATACTGCTCATTTCTAATCACCGTTTCCTGCATAAATACACAAGGGACTTGGTAAATATGTGCTGATTAGGCTGTTATTTCTCATATTTTATCAACCATGAAATTAAATATACTATCTCAAAGGACCTGACTAATAAAACAGTACATGGGCAACTGTGTGTGTGTGTGTGTGTGTGTGTCTGTGTATTTCAAATACCTATTGATTGATGATATAAAACTTAGATTATCCTAGGTACTACAGCTTCCAATTTGTTTTACTACCTATGTTACTTACGTAATTTTGTAAGATATCTCTCGCTATTGTTCTGGGATGGTAATAAACTCATTCACAGTTGTAAATACAGCCTAATTTTACGGAATTCTATACTGACTTCGAACATTCCAGTTCTACCTAAATTTCATGGCAACTTTAAACTTCTCAAATATGAGCTTTGAACAACCCACTTCTATTTCTACAAAATTCTGCTTCAATTTGAGGGACTTAAGTACCATTTTTTGAATTAGACTAATTTCAGGAATATGTTCATTAAGCACTAGAATGAAGGACAATGAAACTCCTCAGCTTTAATTCTACAACAGGACTTCTTCAACTCATTTTAATCCAACTTCTGGTTCAGCATTCCATTGTGGTTCGTCTTCCAGGAGGACTTTATGTTGTCATTCCCAATGGATATCTCTCTGGTTTTGTTTTAATTTACTTATCAGCAGGATTTTACATAGCTAGCCTCTTCTGTCTTCTGAGAAATTTTCATAATTACCAGTCTCTCATTTTCAGTTTCTTATGCTAGAAATGTTCCCTTCATATTTTCACTTTAAATACTGGAATAGCTCAGAACAAAATAGCAGAGCTTTTCATATTATCTATAAGACAAGGATTCCTAAATCTACATCATTATTACTACTGCCTGTCCCCACATAGATTTCCAGTAAAATATTGAAACAATATGGCCAGAAAAAGAAGCAGAGGAAGAAGAATTGGGGTCCCCCAACCCCCACTATCTTATTTTTTTTCCTAGTCTTCCTCATTCTGGCAAATAGCATAGCCATTCACACAGATTATTTATTGTTTACCCTGTGCTTCCTGTTCATTCTTTCAAATCATAGCCCAAAGCTAGTTACTTCTCTGTTGCATTCCCAAAAAGGGAAATAAAAAGCACAAATCTTTTCTCTCCTGAAAGATGGCAATATAGATTTGAAGAGCAACAATGCAGTACAATATTCACCAGGAGGCAGAAAGGAGAGCTGGCATCCACACGCCCTGGTGGCGGCTCAAGGCAAATGGCTCAAGAATGCCATCCGGAGAGAAACTACTACAGGCACAGAATCAAAGCAGATCCAGCAAAATGAGCTGAGAGAATGACTTAAATTGATGGTCTCCCTTGTGAAACAGGACACAACACAGCTTGTGCAGACAACATCTAGTCCTAACCACCTAGAGAAATTATTTCCATGAAGCAATCTCTTCAGTAAACATTTTGGGAACCTACTGCATGTGAATTGAGTGAGAAGGAGGAGTCAGGAGAAGGAGAGGAGGAGCAGGAGAAGGAGGGGGAGGAGGAAGAGTAGGGAGAGGGAGAGGAGGAGAAGAGGGGGAAGGAGGAGGACAGGAAGAGAAAGAAGGAGAAGTAAAAGAAGGCAAAGATAACTAAAATGATTACAAATTATTTCTTTAAGGGTGGAATGCAATGTTTGAGAAAAGGCTTTCTTTTGTGTCAAGTAGTTTAGTGTCTTATAGAGAAATGAACTGATTTTCCTCATCTATAAAAAATAGACGCAGAATTGATAGTTTATACAAAACTAGTCAAGGCTAAAAGACTATGATTCTGTCATGATCTAAATCCATATATTTTATTAGTGCATAGAAATCAATATTCAAATTTACTTAAAATTGAAATATGTATATTGATACACTAGGCATACAGTGTCAAATCACTACTATGTTCCTATTTCTCAATAAATCTATTAGCTAATCTTTATCAATGGATGATTGATGAATGGCACTGAGACTTGTTCTTTGGGAATAAAGAAGGAAAATCATGTTTTTCCCTCAAAAAGGATGAACTCACTGAAGATAAAGGTCACAGACCAAAATACAAGATAGTATAAATGGGGCAGTGGGAGTAAGGGCAACAGGGGAGATATGGCTTACAGGTGAGAAATCACAGGTAGCTGGCATGGTCAATAAGGACTTCCTGATAGAAGTGGGATTGGAACTTTACCTCAAATGATACCAAATTAAAGAAACAGCAAGTGTTAATTAATATCAAGGAAAGAATTTAACCTTTGTTGCACTCAGATCATTTTATGGAAGATATATATGAAATTCAAAATGCATTGGATATTTTATATGATAGGCAAATAGGTAGGTAAGTAGATAGGCAAATAAAGAAATATTTTTAAAATAAAACACCTGTCCAGGTGCTGTGTTGCATGAATGTAATCCCAGAGAGTCTGCAGGCTAAGGCAGGAGGATCAGTAGTAGTTCAAGGCCTGTCTTAGTAGTTTAGTGAAGCTTAAGCAACTTAGTAAGATACCATCTCAAAATAAAAAATAAAAAGCGATGGGGATGTAGGTTATTGGCAAAGCACTCCAGAGTTCAATCCCCAGTACCAAAAAGAAAGAAATAAAGTAAAACTACTAGCAACTTCACAAGCTTTTCTATTATCTTTACTCATTTCTACCAAATTTGTGTTTCTCTTTGTTTAAAATAACATAGTCCAAAATAAAAGTGGTCCATGTCATAACAAAGATATTATAATAATAGTATAATAATAATATATAATTATATATAGTATAATAATATATTATATATAATAATAGTATATAATATATAGTATAATAATATGTAATAATAGTATAATAATAGTAAGTGCTTAGGACCCTGCTAATTCAAAATGACCAATGAACCCTCCTCAGCTGTGCAAGAAAAGGCTACTACAGAGTAACCTAGAGTAACACTCTAGAACACCACAGAGCTGCTAGGTATGTTATGGAGCTTTGCAGAGGCTAATCTTGGGATTTCCTAAGCTAAATTCTTGGTCAACTTAGATCCAATGCCTTGAGTGCTTGCTTTAAAAAATGATATAGATCATCTAGGGAAACCACCCAGGAGTCTGTACTTTGATCAGGCTGAAGTTTAAAACTAAAACATCAATTCACAAAGGAAACTACAGACAAGCGAAATATTTAAATGAATTAGGAGAAGTTGAGTTATTTTGAATTGTACTTGTAATGACTTTTGCTTTTGATTACTATACCTAATCAAATCAGGCAAATCTAGTAAGAATCCACAGTAGAATAACCTTGCTGGATTGTATAATACTTAGGTATGCAAACTGAGTACTATATTGTAATGCATCTTTCAGGATTTAACAAAGCATTCAACTAAGCAGTAAGTCACCTGAGTTTACTAGCTATTGAATTTCTATGCACATTGGGGAAGATCTGGACCACAAATCTAATTCCTGCAGTTGAAGAGAACTCAAAGTAAACATTCTGGTGAACCATTGAAAAACTGGAATGCATAAAGCATTCTGATCAATATTCGCTTTCTTTATGATCAAAACTGAAAATGTCTCCATCTTTTTGAAACCTTTTGTTCCTTTTCTAATGAAAACCTTCACCTGCATGTCCCCCTTATCAACTGTGCTTCAATTTATTTTTTTATCATTTAGACTGAATGCTAGCTAGAGAATAAACAAGAGCTTGTGGGACATGTTCCCCAAAGTAGTACTACACAAATTCATTAGATGTATAAATCACAAGGAAGCCAGAAACTGGTTACTGAATCTTTGATTTGGGGCATATATTTCAGCACCACATCCAACAACTTGAACTCTGTCAATACATCATATGCTATCTCTCTGTCCTCCTTATAACAAATATTGAGGGCTTACAGAAAGCCATTTCATAATTTGGATGGAGTTAGGGATAGTATGAACAACCATAGTGCATGTGTCCCCTACAAATGGTCTGGCCTGGGTGCCTTGATGCTGAGACTTGGGTCAGGGCCATGACCACCAGGTCTTTTCCAGCCAGACACTCCACAACAGAAATAGGAGATGGCTAAGCCTTTGATGTTAGGTACAGGTTGTGATAGGAAGACATCTCTGCCACTGGTTTCTTACCCTGGAATCCCGGCTCTTCAGAGCCCTCTGTAATAAGGGCTCCACATCATGATTTAACACTTGCAACTCCTGTAATTTCAATCATTTTCATTTCAGCTAAAGAGCTCTGCCCAGCTCATTAGGGCATTTTCCCTTGGAAGGTAGACAACTTGACTCATACAAAAGAGTTCTGTCTGTAGTCTGACAGAAGCAAGTCCAAATCCCCGTGTCTAGATGCAGGGTACTTACCTGTGCCCTTGTGGCCTCAATGTTTTAATTTATAAAAGGGGATTGACAATAATTATTTTTGAC